GTCAAATTTCATTTCTACTACAAACGCAGCAAGTTACTGCCGGGTCTCAAAAAATGTCAAAAAATATTCTGAATTCCGCTCTCAGCATGACCCAGGATCAACGACGTGGACGTGGCGAAAAGGTGATCCCATTGGGGTGCTTGATTTTCGTGAGTTCCCTTGCTTCTCACGATGGGGTGCTTGATTTTCGTGAGTCCCCTTGCCTCTCACGTTGGGGTGCTTGATTTTCGTGAGTACCCTTGTCTCTCACGTTGGGGTGCTTGATTTTCGTGAGTCCCCTTGCCTCTCACGTTGGGGTGCTTGATTTTCGTGAGTCCCCTTGCCTCTCACGTTGGGGTGCTTGATTTTCGTGAGTCCTCTTGCCTCTCACGTCGGAGTGCTTTATTGTCGTAAGTCCTCTTGCTTATCAGATCAAAATAATTGAGTTTATGGTAATGTCTTTTTTGTATGGTACTCTTCAAAGCATGGTGCTGCGCATAGAGGAACATCACAAGTGGAACATATATATACTGTTCAATGTACAGTCTTACGCAAAGAACACATATGACATCTTTGTCTTGTACATTGCCTCGGAAAATGGCGGCCGACTAATCGAGTCGGAGGATCATTATAAGATATAGCTGCAGAAGGATCAAGTTTCAACAATGAGCGAACTACCTGTAATCGAATTGAAGGAAATGATGTAGCTCCTTCATTTCTCATTTTATATAATGCATGAGCATTAGATAGACAAAGATCAATAAGATGAAAAAAAAGCTTTCGATACCATTTCATTGTTTTTCGCTGATTCTGTGATAGATAATTGTCTATCAATATTATCGATACCATCCATATTTTGATTGTAATCTTGAACACACTTTGGCTTTATAATGTCTTCATTTGTTAGATGACTTTTATTTCCAGTTGTACAGAATTCAAGTGTGTGCACACTTGTAAGCATAAGAACGCTACGTTTGTCTTCCCATCTCACTGCCATCTACTCATGACTATGAGAAACTTGTACTTCACCTCGGACTAATTTGTTTTCAAGCTTTGGCATTCCTTTTCTATTTGATTTTACCGTACCACACATACCTGTATCGCGATCATGTAAAAATTCTGTCAAAGTAGGAGATGTATATCAATTGTCTATATATACAACATGACTCTTATAAAAATAAGGCTGTAAAAAGTGAGCTACAATATCGCCAGTAACACCTAAATCAAACTTCTGATAATCAGTGTCTGCACCAGTGTAAACCACAAAACCCAATACGAATCCTGTCTCACAGTCTACAAGCATGAAGAGCTTGATGCCAAAGCGATTATTTCTCTTCAAAGGAATATATTGCTTGAATCGAAGCCTACCTTTCCACAATAATAAACTTTCATCTAAGCACAGATTTTTCCCTGGAGTGAGAACTGTCGAAAATGTATTTTGTACGTGTTCTATTACTGGCTTTATTTTCACTAAAGGATGATTTACGATATCTTCATTATTATGAAAATGTAAACATCGCAGGATTTGAATATATCTATCGCGAGACATTATTTGACCAAAAAT